TACAAATATGTATATAAGGTTGAGATGTGAGTCTTCATGTTACTTGCTTGATTTTTTCCCTCCTCTTTCCTGCTGCTCTCTTTTCCGCATGTTATCTTTTCATCTGAGTGGGCATCCAGACTTTTCATCTCATTTGCTGACTGTGTAGTGACTTCCAAAGTGGCTGAAATAGAGTGGGGACACTGTGGTCCTCTTGATATTTTACACCATCAAATATGAATAATGATCAGGAGTCATATGAATATTTGGGAATCTAAAATGTGTGGAAGAACCAGATTGTTGATTCCTGCCACAGTCAATGACAAGATGGACAGATCTGGTTGATGTCAATGAAGAAAGGAAATGTTGAAATTGCTTCTATCAGGAAAAAAATAATTTGCGTAGAGCCAAGAAAAATTACAATATGCAAATATCTGAGCATCATTTCAGTAACTTGTTTAACTGTATTGGGCTGATTCTCTAACTGTGAATTAGGGTTTACTTTACCTTCAGAACAGTTTGGGTCAATAGATTCAAGGACAAATAAGACATGACTGCAGAAGGTGCTTTATATGTTACCACATGCTTGCCTTGATATTCCTTGAGGGGTGGTATGGCCATTTAAAGTCTAGCATGTGTGGAGTGGGGGGAGGGTTGACCTCTTCCTCCTGATAGACATTACTCTCTGGACCATTCCAGCTGTTTCTTATGGCATTTTAGGAGCAGACATGAATGCTGCCAGGAGAAAACATAGTGGGGGTGGTAGAGGGGTTGAGAAACCATGGAAAAGGTTTTCTCCCTCCTTCAAACTGTGTGCCCCTGCTGCGGTCTAAATTGCTCCCAGCTTAATTAATTGGAATTAGTTATCTTGCAGACTTAGAAGAGAGCAATAGCAAAGCCTCTATAAATCTTGCCAGGAACCCCCATCCAAATAGTGTGTCTCTATGTGTCAAGACAGTTTCTCTTGACATATGAGGAAATTTGCAATTATTCCTAAATACCTCTCACATTTTAAATGGGTGTCTTTTCTTCTTTTGAACACATATGTACTATGTGTACATGTGCCTTTAAGTCACCTGTTTACTTATGGTGAGCCCATGGATTTCATACCATTTTCATAGGTAAAGAACACTCAGAAGTGGTTTGGCCAGTTTCATCCTCTGAAATATAGCCTATAACAAAATAAATTTTAATAATAAACTTTATTTTTAGACTGCCCTGTCTCTCCCAGGGGATTCAGGGCAGTTTACACATACAAAGACAAATATTCAATACCCAGCATATACCAAAACATTACCACAATAAACATAATAAGGAATAATAACAGCATTGTACTAATCAAATGAAATTAAATATCAAAATAAAAACATAGAACAACTAATCACTAAACAAGTACATTTAAAAGCATGGTCAATAATAAAACATCTAGAGTACAAATTAGGCAAGCATTTGGCTGTTAGTTGTTCTTAAGTGTACCATAATGGCCACAAAGTACAGATAGACAGCTTGCTTTTCAATGGTATTAGTAAAGTGCTTTAATCCTCCACTTCCCCATATGCCAAAGTGCAAATGGGGAAGGGTTTTTAGTAGCTTTTTGAAAGAGAGGAGGGTGGAGGCTGTTTTTATTTCTTTTGGATGGGAGTTCCAGAGGTGGTGAGCAATCACGGAGAAGACCCCCTCTCTTGTCCCCACCAGCCGTGCTTGTGACAGAGGTGGGATCGAGAGGAGGGCCTCCTCTGCAGACCGCAGTGCCCGGGATGGTTTGTATAGGGAGATGCAATTAGACAAATAGCCTGGACACGAACTGTTTAGGGCTTAATAGGTAATTACCAGGACTTTGTATTTAGCTTGGAAGTAGACCAGCAGCCAGTGGAGCTGTCGCAACATAGGAGTCATCTTCTCACAGTACGGTGCTCCAGTTAATAACCTGGCTGCTGACCTCTGGACTAATTGTAGCTTCTGAACTATCCTCAAAGGCAGCGCCACATAAAGAGTACTGCAGTAGTCCAAATGGGATGTGACTAAGGCCAAGTCAGGCATCTCAAGGTATGGGTGCAGCTGGTGTACAAGTTGTAATTGTGCAAAGTTGCACCTGGTCACTGCTGACACCTGGGGTTCTAGGGAATGTGACGAATCTAGGATCACCCCCAAACTGTGAACTTGTGCCTTCAGAGGGAGTGAAACCCTGTCCAGCACAGGCTGTAACCCTATATCCTGTTCTACCTTGCGACTGACCAGGAGTACCTCTGTCTTGTCTGGATTTAATTTCAGCTTGTTAACTCTCATCCTGTCTATTACTGATGACAGACACCAGTTCAGAATCAGGATGGCATACTTGGCTTTTAGTAAAAAGAGTAATAGAGTTGGGCATCATCTGCATAAATTTGACACTGAACTCCAAAACTCTTGATGAGCCCTCCCAACAGTTTCATGTAAATGTTAAATAGCATGAGGACAGAATTGAACTCTGCGGGACTCCGCAGGCGACAGGTCAGGGAGTCGAACAGGAGTCCCCCAGCTCCACCATCTGGGTCCGTTCCCTCCAGGAAGGACCAGAGCTACTGCAAAACAGTGCCCCCAACCCCCATCCCAGAGAGATGGCCCAGAAGGATACTATGGTTGATGGTATCTAAGCCATTGAGATGTCCAGGAGAACCAACAGGGACACACTGCTCCTGTCCAGTTCTCTTTGGAGATCATCCACCAAGGTGACCAATGGCATCTCAGTTCTGTAACCAGGCCTGAAACCAGATTGGGATGGATCTAGATAATCAGTTTTATACAAGAAACTTTGGGGTTGTGAGGCTACCGCCTTCTCTAGAATCTTGCTCAGGAAGGGGAAATTTGAAACTGGCCTGTAGTTATTAAGTAGAGTTGGGTCCAGTGCTGGTTTCTTTAATAAGGATCTTACTACTGCCTCCTTGAATTTAATTGGCATTATGCCTTGGGTCAAGAAGGCATTCACCAGCACTTTAACCCATTCTGCCAGTCCATTCCTGGCCGACTTTGTGAATATGAGTTGTAACCAGGGTGAGTCTTGCTTACTCTTCAAGATCAAACAGGGTCTTGTATGGGATGACTGACTGGCCCTTAAATTTAATGCAGGTTTGATTTGTTAAAAAGTTGAATGACAAGCATGAAACAAAAGGGCACAATGAAAGATGATCTGGTTGATAGGAATGGATGTGGATGAATTGTTTGGTGTAAATTAATGGAACTGCAGAGTGTGAGGCACAGATGAAAAAATTCTCCATCTTTTAACTTGTCTTGCATTTTCTTATTCATTTCACTTTCCTGTGTTTTTATACTTTAATCATCTAGCAGTGCTTGCATTTAAATTAAAATAGCTTTTAGGCACATTTCAGAACCATATTTCTATTGGTGCAAAGTCTGCCTTAGGTAATGCAGTAGTTTTTTTTGTCTCTTATGAAACTTCACTGATGTGTAATATGTGTTGTGCTGCACACATGATAAAATGAGAAATTGTCTCCATGTTATAAAAAACACTGATGCAAGAAAACCCTTTTTTAGATATAGGTACACAGGAATTTTTTAGGGGTGCAGTGTGAAACACATTTGTTAAGTTTTGTTACATCTTTTTTCAGTCTTTTAGTTCTGTCTCTTGTATTTGCACATCTTTGTAGTGTTACTCCTAATGAGGTCCTTGTGGAATTTTTGCCATGGAGGTGCCAACCTAGCATTGAACAGAGATACATTTCTGCCAGTTTGTTGTGCCTTCTTGTTCTTGTCCAGTTGGTGTAGGGTTGCTTTATCCTAACCTCTCAAATCCAACCATCAATTCTATATTTAATGCATTTTAATGCATTTGTTGACCGCCGCTCTCAGCCCTAGGGCGACTCGTTGTATTGTGCATACTATTAATTTACATTTTAATTATGAAGATCGAGCACATTAACAGTTTGAATTCTCACCGACTTCTATGTTTTGTTTTTTAAGTAGTAACTGTTCTTCTGAATAATTATTCTCTACTCGCAATCCATTATCCCAAGAGCCTTGTTGGGCTAGAAGGTAATATATAAATGCTTTAAGTTGGGTTGGCTAATATCTCAGCCAAGGAGCACTCCACCATTTCAACAGACCACTATCTGCTCCTGCAAAAGGATCAAAAACTCTTTTTGCCCCCAAGCACCTTCTAAGGGGCACAGAGGTATTTCACTGTTTTTGGGATCTTCCTCAGCCATTGTAGGCTTGGGGAAGATTACTTTTTTAGCCCTCCCTGTTTGACTTCCTTTTTTTAAAAGCCATCTCCTGGGCTTAATCTGGCCTGGAGTAGACACAACTCCAGAACATTTGAGGCAAAGAAAAAGAGAGAGAGAAAAGAAATGTTGTTTTTAACTTAAAGGTGCTACTAAACCTGGTGTAAATAGTTTTTATGCCCCTAGAAGGAATTTTAATTAATATTAGATCTTTTTTCTTAAATGGCATTGTGAACCAGAAAAAAATATTTCTGGAGACAGATTCAATTTTAAAAGTTTTGGACTTGAACACAAATTGATCATAGAGTCATGCTTGATAACTGTGGGAGCTAAATAGAATGATTCATGGAAAACCACAGAATCTTTGGAACCTTTAATACTGCCCTATAACTCTAAATGGGATACCAATTTAATGTAGGGTAGAGAAAATATCTTTGGGGTTTCTTGCTGCAATGTATGTAGAGCCACTTTGAAAGGAGAATGTATAAATCATTTGGGGTGGGTGGGTGGAAAACAACTTTACAACAAGGAAAACATTTTTGTTGACATGTATCAAAAAAACCTTTTTCTTACAGCAAAGCAAAATGAGTAGATGTGTACAAATAATGACTAGTTTTGGTATTTATTGGTATTTATGATATTTACGATGCATTTGTAATGCACATGGTTTGTAATGAAAATATTTTTATATATTTGTTTGTTTCAATTCTTTTGCAAATAATTTGGGGACTTGTTTAGGACATTGAAACAATTCACAAAAGTATTTACTGCTAACAATAACCCTCCTCTTTTTCCCCTTTTCAGCACTTTTACAGTCAGTAATAGCTGGTGATTTTTTAAAAGTAAGTAAAAGTCTAATTACTCTGTCTTAGGTATCTGTTTGTTATCCCCCTCAATTTCCCTCTCAATTTCCATTTAATAATATTTGTTTATTAAGTAAATTACTATGTTATCTTTATATTGCTTAAGATAGTTTAGTACATCATCATTACTGTAGTTTGGGTCTGTACGGTTAGGGAATGAAATAAGCAAAAAGCCACAAAAATTATGAAAACCGTGGCCAAGATATTGCAAGAGCTCTGTAGGTGGAACTTACCACTTCACTACATGGGGCTTTTTTTAGCATCCTAAGACTCTTCTCCATGAGAAGCAGTGGCTTTGCCCCCAACTGGAGGTTGTAGCGTGAAGCTTCACTTCAAACACAGGACCCTGCCTGTGTTTTGCTGGCTTCATTGGATCCGCACCATGTCAGTGATGCTTCCCCCGTGTGATGGAGGAAGCATTGCCATGATGAAGTGGTGTGCGAGATGACAGAGTGGCCCCTCATGCCTGTCATTTCATCAGGGAGGCTGATGAAATGACACCGGAGGGGGGGGGTAAGTCCCCCGCGTGATGAAGTCTTATGTCTTAGGCCCCTATAACTTGCTCCAGAAACTGCTATGCTCTTGTGATCTCTTCACCAATAGCAATTTGGTGGCTCTTGGAGTTTCACGAGCTGGGAATCTAAGAAGGAACATGCCAATTAAGGACATCTTCTGCCAAGATATGCTGAGATTCTCCAGAGGTCTCAGTGGAGAATGCCATTGCTCTGTATCCAGCAATAGGAACATATCCAAATCCTTCTTTCATCCCTTCTGTTCTCCACTAGCATTGGAAACTGCCATTGTCGGTACCCATTGCAGTGACATAAAGAGTCCTGGTGGGAGGGACTTTGATCATTGCAAAGGATGGAAGTAGAGAACTCTGCAATGACAAAAAATGCAGACAGGTGGACCTTGTGTATGTCCCTAACCAGATGTCAGCTGTGTTGAACATGGTTCTCATCTAGTTTGAAAACATGAAAAGGACTTCGTTTGATGTCGAAAAAACATACAGTGGTGTCAAGTAATCCTGTAAGGGGTGATCTGTTAGCTATTTGCCCACCACAGATTGTGAGCACACCCACAAGGAAACCTCATGTACGTTAATGGCGGGATGCATTCTAGGACACTTCCACAAGTACACTAGTCCTAAGCCATAGATGGTCAAAACCACCACTTTGAATGAAACATGAACCACCAATGTCAGCACATAGTGATATCATCATAATGTCCAGTCCTATTGTGGATTAACAGTATTTTACAGAACAGCATTTTACAGAAGTGGAACCTCGAGCCTCTCAAACATGTTGAACTGAGGCCAAGGTGATTTGTCATTCTTCAGATTTAAAATTAAAATAGGTAAATGTGCTATGATAAAGAGGCATTATCAAATTCCAATTATCTAGAACACAAGAGTACATTGCGTTGAAAATACAATAATGTCTTGATTGGATTCCTTGCCAATAAAATAGAGAGCCATAGGCATTAATATGGATTTGAAATAAAGAATTGCCTACAAGGCCTTTTGCAATGTTTGTTATTCTTAGAGCTTCTCTGCTATGTTCTTGGTTTGTCAAGATACCGCTCAAGTTGACAAATTACTCATAGTTAAAATAGTAAACAGCTACAGCTACCCCAGATAATAATCTTAGGAACACTGCAGCTTCCAAACACGCCAAATGGATTGCTCAGTATATATTCAACCAGCTATCAGAGTAAGCAAAAGGCAACATAGTCTATCATCTCATGATCTGATGTATAACCAGTTTCACAGTACATTAGTCTCAGTTCCATTTTGCACTTCATTGCAGTTTCGGTATTTGATGTGAATTCAGTTCAGATATTAAGCCAGTTCCTGGAATACCATGACTATCCTATATCTCTTCTGACTGCCAGGGTAGAAAAGGGGAGGCTCCCTTCATTTCATTCTGTAATTATCCAACTGTACTGTAATTGAATCATTCGTTTTTCAAAAGGCACACTTCAGACCATTTTTTCTTGAGTCAAATGATCACTTCCATTCTGGATTTGATTTTATGTTTCACATTTTATGTGCATTTGGCACTTTCCTCACTGTCGGAGTTGAAAACAGTAGTTGTTCCTGGGAGCAATTCTTATCTCTGTGCTATTTAAATTAGGACCAGTTCATGTAATGCTTACAGAATGATTTCTGTGGAGCATATGATGTGTTACCAGGGCCATCTTTGGATACAGACAATTCTTCCTGCCAATCCCCTTTTGCAGATGGTGGTAGCACATTTCCCTCTCTGATCAACTGATCTATTCTTTCTATCCAGTTTGAAAGTGTGTTTGTGGCACCATGGGGATGTCATAGCTGTTGTAAATATGTGAACACTGACTTTCTTCTTCTTGGCCAGCATCTTGTTTGTGACATGTGTACATGAATGTGAAGCTCATACCATGTATTACCTTCTGCCTCTCCATTTTTATATGTCCATGAATTAACTATCTCCACATTGCCCAATAAATCAAAAGACATCTTTGGTAATTTACCTTTAAAAAATCCTGACCTCTTTATCGGGTACCCTAACTCAGGGTAGTTTACAATCAAATAAACTTCAAACAATAAATAACTGAAAAAGATTAAAAAGATTTAGAAGGTTAAATAGTTTATAAATTTAGATACAGGCAATATAAAAGTGGTGAAAATATCTTGAATAATAAAACACATGCAGTTTGGATGAAATCAATTTGGCTTTAAGCTTCAATAAAATAAGGAACTTTCTATATATATATTTTTAGTGGAAAGGGAAGAATAGAATAGAATAGAATAGATAGAAACTGGTAGAACAATTAATGTATTAAAATTAATATATTAATCAAAAAGTGCAGCTCAAAGAAATGAAATTATTAATATCCTCTTTAAGAAACATAATAATAATAATAATAATAATAATAATAATAATAATAATAATAAAACTGACACGATATGAGAATTTAAAGATTGAACTGCAAAGACTTTGGCACAAGACACTCAAGGTGGTCCCAGTGGTGATCGGCACACTGAGTGCAGTGCCTAATGACCTGGGCCTGCACTTAAACACAATTGGCGCTGACAAAATTACCATCTGCCAGCTGCAAAAGGCCACCTTACTGGGATCTGCATGCATTATTCGCCGATACATCACTCAGTCCTAAACACTTGGGAAGTGTCCAACGTGTGAACCAATACAATAGCCAGCAGAGTGTCTGCTGTGGACTTATCTTGTTGTGTTTCAAATAATAGTAGTAGTAGTAGTAGTAGTAGTAATAATAACAACAACAACAACAACAACAACAACAATAACAATATAACAATAATAATCATAACTTTATTCTTATATCCTACCTCCATCTCCCTGAAGAGACTCAGGGCAGCTTACATGGGGACCAAGCCCAATATAAACAAAGGTGGTGCATTGCCCCATAAATAGCCGATTTATCCCCAATCCTGAATATAGTGTAAAGTAGTTTGGTAAGGAGGAACTCACAGCTGAATAAAATCCTACATTTTCTGCTTTGAACTAGAATATATGGCAGTGTGGACTCAGATAATCCACTTCAAAGCAGATATTATGGGGATTTTCTACCTTAATATTCTGGGTTATATTGCTGTGTACTATGAACTAAACCAATTGATTGATTGGTAGGACATTTATACATGATCTTGGCTTTACTAAGAAGACATAACCTTCTTTAAAGAAAAAAATTATCAGTGCCAGCAAACAAGTTTAAAAATACCCAATTGGCACGTACTAGCCAATGGGATCCACAGTTGGCACCATTGGCACATACATGTTACTGTGTGTTACCAGGTGAACTTGTTTATGGCTACCCTTAATTAACATTGTTTTGCCTATACTTTATGTATTTTCTTCAGTTTATAGAATGCTGTACAAAGGGAGCTAATCTGTTAATCCAGGGGCCTGACCACTGTTCTTTACTTCATCATGCTGCCAAAACTGGGCATGGGGAGATTGTGAAGTACATTCTAGATCATGGTAAGTGACCTGATGTTAGCTTTTCAAGCTTGTGTAGCATAAAGGTGACTGAGCTATGATTTATTTAGAAAGGACATTCAAAATGGTTTCTTCAGCACCTTGTCACACGGCCTCCAAAAGCATCTCATGTTGCTCCCCTTCACTGCAGGGCGTGGGGAAGCCACTGCTCCCTGCCCCACATTGTCTATTGAAAGGAAGGGCTTTGTATTATGCACACTGAAGTGGGGAGGGAGTTGAGAATCAGGAGATTGCAATCATTAGTACTCTGTTGTTTGCCTAAATACCTAAAGGCACTACATACCATCTGATCTTGGAAGCTAAGCAGGGACAACACTGGTTAGTACTTGAGTGGGCTGTACGGTGCTGTAGGCTATATTTCAGAGGAGGGAAGTGGTGAAATCACCTGGGAGTATTCCTTGCCTAATAAAACTGTACAAAATTCATAGGGTCACTATAAGTCAACAAGCAAATTGAAGACACACACATACACACAGTGCTTGTTTACCAAAATTGGGACACACACTGTTTGCTTACCAAAATTTCTCTTTTGCCTTGTTTTGAGCTCAGGAAAGCAGTGACAGCATAACTTCTAACATCACCCTCCCCACTTGCCTTACACACAAAGGCCATCACAGACACTCAAGCTGCTTTGCTTCCTGGGATACCACTAGAGAGTGTGTTTTGTGTAGCTAAAAGCCAGAGAAGAGGGGAGAAGAGTCAATAATTTGAGACAGACCAATGATTACAGGCATTAAGAATGGACAGAGGTCCCCATGGGGCCAGCCTCCCCAACGCTTTCCACTTTTTACTCTTTTCAGTTGTGATCCCCCACCCACTCTATTCTCTCTGTATTTCCCAGCGCCTTTTATTTATGTATTCACTTCCCTGCACATTCCTCTTTCTCTCTCTTGCTCTTATTTTGTTTTTGTTTCCCTCCCCCTCCCTGCTGTTTTCCTTGATAGAAACCTCACTCAAGCATTTCCTTTCCGGATTTCTCTTGGGCTGGTTGGCACTCTCTGTCTCTGTGCCTTGGTCCCCCTTTCTTGTTTTTGCTTCTTGTCCTTGGGTAAAGGAGCCAGCTTCCTGCTGTGGCAGGATGGCAATGCCATTAGCTTTCCCAGTTCCAGTCTCTCCTACATCTATGTGGCTTTTGTCCTATGCCAGAGGAGATTTTGGAATGGTTGCTTCCAGAAAATGAGGGATTGATTTTAAAAAAAATCAGAAAGGAGGAAGATTCTTAATGAGCACGAGATAGTGCTGGAGAAGTACGTATATTCAAATAAGGCAATTGCAAAATGTAGAAAGTTACTACCAGATAGATCAGGATCCTACCCCATCCATACAGCTTATTATTAAAGCCATGGTGCAGAATGCTTTATCCAGTGAGGAGGTCTCAGATAGCAGATATTTTGTTTAGGCCATAGCTACACACACCAATTATTTTATATCTAAGATTGATAAACCAAGTTCCCTTCCTCTAGGCCCTAGGGAGACCCAGTCTCTCTAGCTCTTCCAGGGCTTGTAACTCTTCATTAACTCTCTTCCCCATTTGCTTTCATTTCCATATTACTGCATCTTGTCTTGACTTTAGTTTATAAGGGTATAGGTAGTACATGCCCATTGCTACAATTGAAGAAACTTTTAGAGCAAGAACAAGAAATCATAGTAATTAAGATGCTGAATCGACAGAGTTGAAATCCCAGTTGAATCCTCCCACCAAACTCAATTTTCTATAAAAGTGGCAAGATTCACACTGGTATGATGATAAGCGAATTCCATTCCCCTTCCTTTCCCCTCTCCTCTCTCCAAGTTGTGCAAGTGTCTTTGCTGATATTGGCAATGGTGCCTGGCATGGCCAAGGAGCTCTATGGGCCACCACTATGGCAATAAACAACACACAAGATAAACAACGCAAAAGGGCAACCATCCAGGGAGTGGAAATGGCTCAGACCTACTTGGCGGTCAGGACTCTGCTCCCACCATTGCAACAAGTGTAAATGCCTCAGTAGATGTGGAAATAACAAATTGTAAATTGAACAATATAGAGAAAATAGAAAATGTTATAATAATTAAGAACATGTGGGATCCAGTTAGGAATTATATAGAGAATGTATTAAGATGTGGAGTGGAAAAACTGAGACTAGACTGATATTTCCAATGTAATTTCTGTAGTTTTTGTATAAATTGTACAGGGTGGAGGGTGGGAGTGGGGTAAACAATACAAATTTAAAACAACAACAATAAAAGGAGTTAGACATCCCCCCCCCCCAAAAAAAATGCCTCAGTAGCAGTGCTTCAGACCAGCTCCCGATTTAGCTCCTTGTGTAGATGATCCACCTCTCATAGTAAGTTAACTGAGTACAAACCACACTCAAACTCTGAATTCATCTTGTGGCATTTAAAGAAAAATGAAGACAACAAGGGAAAGTATGAGGACAGAAGTGAAACTGGAACACTGAAGAATGTTTTTATTAAGTTTCAGCAACCCCTCCCCCTCAAAACATACACCTAAACCAGACAAACATAACACAACCCAATTAAATAATAATAGTCATTGCTTTGAAACTGGGACATTTTAAAATCAACTGAAAAGGTGGGACTAATAGTGATGATCGCTGTCAATTCAGGCAAGTAAAGGGTATGGGTTAGGCATTTATTTTATTAGATTGAGTAAGAAGCATTAATTTTCTTGGCGCCTCTTTATTGGAATCATTCTTACATGGATGTGACTCACCTTGTTTTCTTTGACAGGCCCTTCTGAATTGCTGGATATGGCAGATAGTGAAACGTAAGTCCTGCCTTTGTCACTTGATTCTTTTCACCTCATTTGTAGTTTTGTTCATTTGTCTTCTCTCAATTAAAATTAAATGAAATTAAAATCAGTATCATATAATATTTCATGACATGTGGATTATGTGAGATCCCCGAAAGGCCCTTGTGATCCATCTCAACCATTCCCAGTATTTTAAAACTTGGATAAAATCATGGCTTAAAACATGATATAGTCCCTTCCCAAAAAAAGTCTACTAACACATCCAGTTGGCATAAAAAATACCTCATTATTTGGGTTCAGCACTGTGGGAAGTAATCTAAAGACAGAAGAGGAAGCTCACCAGTTTTTGCCCAGCAATAGAATTCATTTAGATGGACAGAAAAAAAAGCATTTTTGTGGCTGGTTGATAATGGAGTTCGAGTCTAGATGACAACTTAACATTCAGTATGTTGCTTGTAGTATGGTAATTGCAGGGGTGAGGAGACTGAAATCTCTGAATACCATTAAAATTGTCTGTTGATGCTCTGAGGAGTCAGAGGCTAAAACAAAAAAAGTGCCTGCGTGAGCAGTCCTAAAATTATGTCTTGGTGAATTTAATTAATTGCAATAAGACAGTTCTTATTGATAGTTTTCTCTGTTGAACACACAGGGGTGAGACGGCACTTCACAAGGCAGCATGCCAGCGCCACCGGGGTATCTGCCAGCTCTTGGTCGAAGCAGGAGCGTCACTGAGGAAAACAGATTCCAAGGTAACAAAACCAAACAAACTCCTTTCAACAAAGTTGTGAGCAAGCAAAACCAATATGCAGCTGAACTAGTTGCTTAAAGTCGTATTGGGAGTCCCCACTCTTACTTATTTTTCACCTGGAGATGAACTATATTTGTTTGAACATATCTTCCATTGCTTTTATTTATGTATTTTCTGCCTTTTACATTGGCAGTCCCATGATAGTTTTAAGCAGTTGTCAAGGCAATAAAAAACAATGCGATCTCCAAATTCATGGGGGGAATTGTGGATAAGCAAAACTACGATTATGGAGACCCCAATTGTAATGAAGATTTATTCACCCCAGAATAAAGTAAATCATGCAGAAATATCTAGAAAATGTCTAGAGATCAATGAAAGATATTTAGAAGCATATCAAATACCACACTGGACCTTGCATTCTTACTGTAACTATGAATAGGGAATAGGGAGTTCTATCATGGTAGTTATCCTAGCATCACCCCAACTAGAAAATGTCTACAGAATAATGAAAAATCTTTGGAAGCATATCAGATACCACACTGCATTCTTATTCTAACTATGAATAGGGAGCTTTATCATGATAGTTATCCTAGCAGCACCCCAATTGAATAATTCCCAAAGCACGGGCAGCAGAAGCATTGGGAAATGACATCTGCAGCACTTTCTAGGTAGCTAGAAAGAATCCCTAGGGCAGGCATGTAGCTGGGGGGAGGGGGGAGGGGCTGAGGAGCTTCAGCCCCCCCCAAATTCTCATGGTGGCCCGCAAGTAGGCCTTACTGGTACATTATTTAAACTGTTATGTTTATTCATATCATGATCTGATCACCATGCTCAATATATCCCATATGCATGGGGGTATTGGAGTAATGATACAAAAGGTTTGCTAAGGTAGACCCTCTTTCACTCAGACTCAGCCCCCCCCCCCGAATCAAACTCAGCCCCCCTCCCGAATCAAAATCCTGGCTACGGACCTGCCCTAGGGTCTTGCCAGTGACCTAACAATTTTATTGTCTCTTTTTGAGTGGCCTAAATGCTGTAAAGGCACCAGAACCCATCTGAATTTGGAAGCTAAACACATTTAGTATTGGTTAATACTTGGATGAGTGGCTGCCAACAAATACCTGATGTTATAGGCTATGTTTCGAATGAAGAAACTGGGAAATCCACCTTTGAATACCCCTTGTTTAAGAAAACCTATTAAATTCATGGTGTCATTGTAAGTTAACAGGCAACTTGAAGGGACACACAAATTTGCAAATATTATTTCTTTTTTATTCAAGGTCTTTATTTATCATTACTTAATTCACTAGGTTCCACAGTTTAAAAACTTCAGAACTAACTAAAAGCACTCCACTTCCTCTTTTTAATTTTTTTAAACAGTTCAAAAAAAAAAAACAACCCCAAAAGATAATTTATTTTAAGAACCAATGAAGCACAAAACATTTCTGTCCAACCAGAAACTCAGAAGGGATCAAACTGGCCTGACTTCCTTTTGCCTTCCAACCCCCGAAAGAAGAGACACAGACACAATATATGGAGTAAACTAAGGGCAACTTTATTAAATGTTACCTAATTAAATCTTAACCACATGAACCTTTACTAACCTAAAATGAGACAATAATTTGGTGAGGGCTAAAGCTGAGATAGCGTTCCTGCCCAACCTACCCCATGGCTGATATTGGGTGAAAACACCAGGTCTCCGGGTAATCCAGGATGACCTCTGCAGAGAGATGCAATGAAATAACTCTGCCCCAAGGAAATTGAGGTCAGGGTCTCCTGTTTCAGGCCATTTGCGTACGCCCTCAGCTGGGCCCTAAGACTCCCAGATGAGGGTTTCCGCTCAAGAAGCACAAGTTTTTCCCTCTGGAAACTAGATCCGGCCAGATCTACTTTCTAGCCTCTTCTCCAAGGGAGGAGGCAAATCTCCTACCCAGCCCCAGCTGCGCAGGGGCTGGGAAGTCCTCTTAGCAAGAGTTCCACAGTTGGGGTGCTGCTACAGAAAAAAACCCTCTTGTATACTCATAGGCCTAGCTCCATAAGATAGATATATAACAGGACATCCATTGGTGATCTTTGATTTTAAGCAGTCTCATATGAGAGTAAGCAGCCTTTCGGATATGCCTTGTGCACAGAATTACATTTTAAAATAGATCTTCATCTTCATAAAGCTAAACAATATACAGGTAGCTGGGCAGATGTGTATGGTGATCACTCAACTTTTCTACAGCTGCAACAACATCCATTATCGTTAATAGAACTATGCTGAATATTACTATAGGTTTGATGCTCATGTCCCCCCCCCCCCCCCCACTGCAAATTACCAGAAAAAGACTAATCTCACAAAACATTTGTTTTATTTTCAAGCTTCTCGGTGTTCTTTTACTGCCTTGCTGATCCCATTTCTCTCTCTTTCTTTGTCTTATTGACATAGGGTAAGACACCTCGAGACAGGGCCCAGCAAGCAGGAGACCCAGATCTAGCTTCCTATCTGGAGAGCAGACAGAACTATCAAGTGGTTCCCCATGAAGACCTAGAGACTGCAGTGTGATAATTGTGGATTTGTGAGAGAATAATCTAAGAGATAACAAGGCTGAACCCGAGACACACTTGGGCATCATGAAAGGAAGAAGCAAATGGAACCGACACGTCTCTCGCTCTCGTGAAAAACACCCGAGAAGAAGCCACCAGTTTCTAAGGGCTACGGAGACTTGCCACGAGATTCTCGTGTTCCCATGTGTTAACCTGTGGGGATAAAGGAGGACACACAAAGGTCTGTGGAATCCATGGACCAAGAACATTTATCTTTATTGCTCTCAGCAAGTAGCATGAACATTTCCTGTGTTCCTCTGTAGAATTTATTTGAACAATAACAACACAAAGGTGTGGAGGAAGAAAGAAAAATAAGATGAATATTCAACATCAAGCCAAACATCCCTTTCCTTGCAAATCCTTGCCAAGAAACTCTTGTGTTCCCGTTGTTAGCCCTAGCTGCCTTTTCCTTCGATCTTGTGTTCCATATTCTTCCTATTTCAGTCTCCACAGTGACACATCAGTAAAGTGGTGTCTATTTATCTCTGTACTAAATCTTCATAGCTGCTAAAGATGGCATCAGCATTTTGAGGAGAGCTCTGGATGCCCTTAGCAAAATGATACTTTCATATAGCAAATTCTCACTTTTATTCTCCCAGGATATGATATTCACAGATGTTTCCCCTTTTGAACATATTTCAACTCTGTCTTATTCAGATATATAGCAGAGCTGATGCAGAAGCAATCGTAAAGAGAGGGAATGGGTTTCATATGGATTTTTGAGTACAATTGGATGTTGGTAGTCCATCGAAAGGCCAGTTGGAAGAGATATGTTTAAACTTCTCTCACAACTTGTGCTCATCTTATTCAATTTCTCCTGGCCTCCCACCAAATGTCTCAGATGTTGGGTCCGAGGAGGTGCTCCACAAATTTGTTTCAAGTTTTGCTTTTCATAAAAAATGGAGACAATTCATGGATGTGTTAAATTCATTCAAGAAACTATGCTCATCATAGTCCTTTCAGTGACCATTCTAGCAAGATGTGTAAGTTGTTTCTTTGTTCAGCACAACAGACTATGTTTAGTTATAATGTTTATCTTGAAGTAACTTACTTTTGGGTATTTCAGATAAACTTGAGGCTTTCAAAGACTAGAATAACATTATTAATACACACAATGTTTTGCATTTGGTCAAAGAACTTAGTCTTTGGCTTTTCTCCTTTCATTTTGAAAGCCACTTGAGGCTAAACTAAAAATGTCTGCTGGTGGATATTGACTTTTTTGGTATATAAGAGGGATAGGGAAATAGTAGCTCATTGGTTTTATCTAGTTTTGAGGGACAATCAACACACACCACAGCCCCCTCCTCCCAATATTCCATCACATTCTACCCAAAACAAATTTCACTTCTTGTTAAAAAGGCTTCCCCTGGGCCAAAATAAAACATACAGTGGGTCCGTAGTATTTGCTGGGATTTGGTTCAAGGCTGTGGATGTTCAAGGTCATGGTTGGTTAAATTCATGGGTGCAAAATCCATGGATATGGAGGGCCAACTGTAATTAAAAATACATTGACAGTGAAATGCTTATTATAGTTATTCTGTCCAAATTTATTGAATGCTCACTAATAACTGTGTTTAGGATTTCATATAGAATCCCACTGGATGGCAGATATGATCTGCTGAATTGGGAAGTTTTTTCATTTATGAGAAGTATGGAATTTATCCCAAAAATTATGATATGAAATGACATGCATCTGTTACTCTCCCGTTGCTTATTCTAGGTTTCTTTTCAAATCATTAGGTTCTTTTGCCCTCCCCCTCCAGTTCTTTGCCTGAGAAAAGCCAATGAAATAAACACTTCTAGAACAAAGTCAAGATGATCTGCTGCAAAGGATCACAGTTACATCAAGGGATGTAAATATTTGCTTTTTTCTTGTGGTGCAGAACAGAAAACATGATCGTTTTCTCTTTGTTTGATTAATTTTGTGCATTTTAATTTTTTTTTGCACTCTGGGACTTTTTTTAATATTCTCTAACATTTTTGAATTAAAGTTAATAGCACAAAACCAACAGATTTTGCTTTAGAATTTACGATTTTTCCCCTATTTTTGTTGTTGACAAGGAAAAACACTGATCTTTTTTCCCTCTCATACAGAGGTGCAAAATCTCAAGATGGTTCAGTTTCAGCAGGGGTAATCCTTTCTCATTTTCTGGGATAATTCTAGGAAACAATTTCAGTAGTACAATCTTATTTACCCATGAAGCAGTAGCACTTTTCAGTATGCCAACAAAAAGGAAGCATGAACAAAATGTGCCCGATATACCGAGCATGAGAAACATTGATTACATGTTTCGTCACATCTGTCTCCTGATATCTTTCTATTACAATGGAAACACACCTTGAAAATATTACTTTTTGACTACAAAACACATAATCCTCAGCCATATTGGCTGAGGAATGTTAAGAATTGTAGTAGAAAAGAACTTTCCCTAGCTTTGTGTAGAAAATTATAAATAACCTGGCACTGCTGTTACGTTAAAGTGGTTGCCTTCTATATTTCTGTGAATTTGGTTCCCCATAAGCATATTGCCAGCTTGACCCTTGCTTTTCTTGGCATAACTTTCAATCCATATAGTCAACTCAGAATACTATGATCACATTAGGATCACCTGGTACTATGTTTTCTCTCCCCTGGTGACAGATTATGAAGTGAGTCTTAGAATGATAGGACTGAATATGTAGCAAGTCTTAGAATATAGTGAATGGTTCCTTTCTAAAAGCCACCATCTACCACATGGAGCCTGCACTTTCCCCTACTGGGAGCTCAGTCAGGGGCAGCCATTGTGTGACAGTAATAATGTCCGGGACAGAAGATGGACAAGAAATGGGCATTTAATTGTGCTTTTTAATATTCAAGGTATTTTGAGCCATTTTCCAAAAGATACGTGTCAGCGGTTGGCAAGCGGCACATCACCTGTGTGCTACTTAGAGCAGCCATTATGCTCCCAAAATAGCTGACAGACAGCCTAGGCTATCTGAATCTGCTTTTTATTTTTCATTAAAGAGGAAGGACATGAGCCCAAGACTGTATTTTTATAGTCTATCTCAAGAAAGCCAGAGATCATCCCAACATACAGTTTCAGTAATATATTCTGTCTCCATTCCCACTGAAGCAAGTCATTTGGGGTTAAAGCACTGGGTGGATATATTTGCTTGTCAAAAGGCAAATTATTACAATGTTCATGTAAACATGTCTGCCTCTTTGAAGATTATTAATTGAATGTGTGCCAGCATGGAGGATAACTGTCACCATCCAGATATCAAATTTATGGTAGCACAGTTTTAGGGAGTGAAGCCCACTGTGTCTAACGCCTGGAGCTTTATACTTTGTTGGCCCAAAAAGAACCTGTATGTAAAGGGGCAATAAAAACCAGAGAAACAGTGAAGTCAAATAGCAATACAATACAAAAAGTCAATTTGGTGACCTTTCAGTTAAAGCTTCCATGCTTGTAAATAAGCACAGGGACCATTTATTGGAGTAGTTAGTAGGAAAAGTGGCTCTGATAAAAGTTTCACAGTAGAAATAGAAACTTTCCATGTCTCTCCTTGGAGCAATAGCAGGTCACAATTTCTGACTATCAAATATCTTCCACAGAGCTTGGAGAAGATTTTCCCCAGGTTATCCCCAATCCAAATGTGGGATATGTATGGCTTAAAGTCAACTAGGGTCAAACAGGGCTTCCACACTGATTCCTCTAGTTCAAGTAAATATGCTGTTTACTACATCACTTGTTCTCACTTGGCTGTTTATATTTTCCCAATCCTGTGATTCATTGTAAATATTTTAGTTTTGTTTTTGATTGGGGTTTCAGTTCATTGACAGAGCATATTTGATCTCTATACTGGAGTGTCAGAGCATGTGGTGCAACCCAAAGGGAAAACAGTTGTGAAAAAGCTGAAATGCATCTCATTTACATTCTAGGACTGCTTCCGAAACACCAGGTTATAATATTAAAGCAGTGTACTAACAGTATGGGGTGTTTCTTCAGGTCATGGATATGTGACCATATGCCTCATGTCTATGTCTACAGTGAAAAACAAGTAACAGGACTACCTGTATGCATCCATTATTAGAAAAAAGATGCCATGCTGAGAGTCTACTTTTAGATTTTCTGCATGCTCTAGTCTTTATTTGCTGAGACGCTTTTAGGCTTTCTTTGCTCCAAATGGAATATTTCCATTTCCATGGGAATTGTACCTTGATTTACCAAGCATTTTCAGTTTTTGAGGTACTTAGGACTATATAAGATGTATGTCCTGAGTCCTCAGGTTTTAACTATATTCATTTCTTTATACTGTAACCCCCACTTTTCTTGGTGGTAGTAAAAAGTGACATTTCTAAGATTTCCATACATTTTACAGGTTGGACGGTAAAATGCATCTTGTGGACTGACTGCAAAGAGCCACCAATAAGCAGCCATTTTATTCCACATGCATGTGAACTATCTACATTGGAAGATCCATCTCCAATCCTGCTATAAGACCTTTTCTTAATATTTGGTGCCCCTCCTTGCTTTGTATTTCTGTTTGGAGTGAGATAGCCAATACATTGGATGCGGGTTAAGTTTTAATTGATTGTGCTTCAGAGTCACTGAAATCAATTATGCATGAGTTAGCCATGACTAACCTGATGGCACTGTTGAATTTTCCCCACTAAGGATGAGAACATTTTTTGAAGATTCTCTGGACCCCTATAATTCACTACTCAGTAGCTTTTATGGCTGCAAATCTAAATGGTGTTAGAAGTGATTTATATTTATTAATAGAAGATGGAGTGCTATAAATGGCTACTTATAGCTGGAAACCATACATGGAAGACTGTAGCCGTATTTCTGTTTTGCTTCAGGCCTTTCCATGCATAACTGTTTAGTTGTTGTACGTATGAGCAGTATGCTGGACTAGACTGTTATTCCTGTCATTATGAGTGTGACTGAAGCCAATAGTAATAGAGGAATTGCCACATTACAAATAGGTTAATTTGTTGTTGTTGGTTTTTTTTAAATAACCCCATGGATCTGAGTTTACGAGACCTGAACAGGGCTGTCAATAACTAAGGGTTTTGAAGACTGCTCATTCATAGGGCCACCAGAAGTTGAATCTAACTTCACAGTAGATAAAAATAAGAAGACACAATTTGGATCCAGCTCATTATTTTTCTTCACCATCAATGAAAAACTCTTCACATGTGACAGTGTTACCATGCAGAAGGCAATTATATCATACAATTAACATGGAGCACACATATAGTCTGTGAAGCTTGTAGGACAAATCTTCAGTCCATAGAAATGACCTGGCAGTTATGCAGTTATTCTGTGACTGTCCGGTTTCAATTTAGAGTTGCATGCCATATGTGAACTTGCACAAAATGATTAGTATGATCTGATTTCGGCATGCCTCATTCTATTTAGGATCAGATAGAGACCAATGCAAAAGGAGGCTAGTGTGCGTAAGTATGTGTGCAGTGTGTGCGCAAGACAGAGAGAACGCCAGTAAGTGATGATTGAGTATGTTCCAAGTAGCTTTGTATATGATGAAGGTGCCTTTGTACATTTGGGGTAATGTGTGATGCTGCTTAGCAAACCTGGGTGGTAGTTATAAGAGGAACGCTAAAGAGCTTTAGTGTGTGATTGTAAGTTTCCACATATTTTATATCTTGTATGGGGGTTGAAAGTAGACATTACAGGAAGTGTATATGCCCTTTCAGGTAATGTGTAATAAAGTAAAAGATGTTCTATGATATCATCACACTTTGTAAGATTATGAATTTGTCTTCCTGCACTCCAAAACATCGCTAGCATTTTCTGAGGCCCGGAAGTCCATAATATGATTACATAATCCATCAGATTGTTGGATCATGGGTTTTTTTCTATGCTCTGATACATTATTAGCATTTTAAGGGAATGCACAACATGCAAATGTAATATCAAGCATTTTAATTTACTTAGACATTACTGTGCAGGCAATACTTTTAGCTCATAGTGTTGGTGGCTGTTCCTGTAACATCTGTTTATAGCTAAAGACAGAATGTAAGAAGAACGCTGCAGGATCAGACCAAAAACCAATCTAGCATTCTTTTCACACAGTGTTCATCCAGTTGTGTGCTGGAAACTAATAACCCCACCCTTCATTTCACTGATATATAGAGGTATGCTGCCTCTTGACAGTGGAAATAGCATATAGCTTGACACTGGAGATGCCAATTATAACAGAATGTATGGGTGCGAGACTGAATCCTTTGCTTCTGGGAAATAGGTCATGGACTCATGGAGCATTTGCCATGATTCCCAAAGAAATGTGAACAGTGGCATTTTCAGTTGGACCTTGAGCCTATGGTGGAATCTTCATAATGACCTTGTCTTGAGATAAAAGAGCTATCTGTGCACTTAAGCCATCCTCCCTTCTTCCACTTACTTCTCATTACTCAAGCTCATTTCAATACTATGTGTGCCCAAGTGTATGCGCCTTGCCAGGACTGAAAGGTGCATGCATGATTTTTGTGACATTTCTTTTTTAAAATACACACACAGTGGCAAAGAGTAAACACTGGTATATTTTTTAAAATATAGTAACACCCTTCCACCAGTACTCACAGTCTTCATGCTTTACATGTGTGTTATTCTCTAGCATGCATAGCTAAATTCAAAGCATCAAACAAAAATGAGCAAAAAGTAAAGTCTGTGCAGGGTTGCTGAAAAGATATAAAGTCTGATGCCACTTATGGTGTTGGCCCTGAGCAGTGCTCCGTATTCTTGTGTGGGGCTGGAAACCCACTCAACTTAAATATAAACAATGTGAATTAAGTTTAATAATATATTTGCTTTGGTTTGTTTTTACAAAATCGGTGCATTTAAATCAGAATGCACATGTAGAGACAATATACTTCCCAGATTGGTAGAATCTAGAGTTCAGCCATCTAAAGAATCTGGCCTGATCAGGACCTGATGATGTGAAATGTGGCTACTCCTGGATTGTCTTTGTTGCATTTTGGTTCCATTGTAAAATGACTGTCCCATTCTATGGTAAAATCGGGACAAAAATATTTCCTGTTATCAATAAATCACAATAAATGTGATTCTCTTTTGAAAAAAAGAGTTATCTTTGATGTTGTGTATTTCATTATTTTTTAACTTTAATCTCTAATACAATTTCAACCTGGTGTGGTGGTTTGAGTTTAGAATGTCCAGGAGAATATGGTCTGAATCCCTTCTCTGCATTTGAAAGCTATTGAGTGACTTTGGGTAAATCAGATGCACTAAGACTTAGATGTTGGCAATGGCAGACCGCTCCCAAATAAATCTGGATAAGAGATTCTCAGCCTGTGTTATCCATGGACCTGATCTATTAAAAACATCAGATACTGCACAAACAGATATTTTGCAGCCAGGGAAAACAAGTATTCTAATTTCTTCCTCCAGCTTGCTCTAGTATGTGTTGACAGTTGAGTCTCCTTGTAATAATGTGTACCAATAACCAAAGGGAACACATATGAAAATATCCACTTTAGACAGAGATCAAAAAGAAGATCAAGATTAAAATGCACTTGTCAGATGAAACTTTAAACAAAGAAGCAGAAAATAAACACTGTTGAAAATTGTGGGTGTATCTAGACTTAAATTATCCCAGTTTGTAGTACTTCACCACATCCTGACTTGACCCCACTTTATACTTCAATATCTGGTTTGGATCATAATCTTTTCTGCTTTGGATCATATATGGAACTAGAAAGAACTTCCTAGTCTGGCCCTGAGTTGCCCTTCTGCTTAGCTGGCCTAGTGCATAAAAGTTTTCCTCCCAGAGACGGAAGAAAAGGACTTCCAAAACAAACTTACACCTTGTTTAACATTCATATTAGAAATGTTATGACTTCATGGAAATCCTTTGAATCAGTTCACAGTCACACAGCTTTGAACCCAAGGGCAGGGTGAACACTTGAAGGGTGCTAGTTTTTAAAAAGCAACAAATGTGGCATAGGTATGAGATTAGAACATATCACTATTCAAACTCTTTATTCCGCGATATTTCAAGGAGCATCTCAAAGGAAGAAGAACAAGGAAAGATTAGTATTCTTCCTAAGTATTTTGTGAAGTTGCTTTTCAAAACAATATAATGTTCAATATTGCATAAACCACCTAACAACCTGCTTGTCCCACATTGTTTTCAAGTTGAAAAAAAAAAGATGATTCACATAATGGAAGCAGATGGAAACAGGAGGCCATTTTGCTCATTAGGACATATTGTCTTTCTGCCTGATTGCCACTTGGGCATTCTGAGAGCGGCTTAACAGCAACATGGCTGGCCAGAAAGTCACTGTTTACAAGCATATTTCGCACAGATGCATTCCCCCACACATACAACCTCCCCTCTATAGCTGCAAAAGGGAACAAGGCCTGAAGAAGAAGCTGGCAGACTGAACAGGTAACCTCAAGGGGTAGGATTCAGCCTTTGGGCCCAGCTATTTCAGGTATACAAAGGACCAAATGTTCATTTATTTCTTGTATCCTCCCAAGGAAATTCATAGAAACATTTCAAAAAGGGAAACTTGCCACTACAGTTTAAAATCTGAATAAGAAAAGCGCATTCTGGGCACCACAATTCAAGAGAGAGATTGACAAGCTGGAATGTGTCCAGAGGAGGGCGACTAAAATGATCAAGGGTCTGGAGAACAAGCCCTATGAGGAGCGGCTTAAGGAACTGGGCATGTTTAGCCTGAAGAAGAGAAGGCTGAGAGGAGATATGATAGCCATGTATAAAGATGTGAGAGGAAGTCACAGGGAGGAGGGAGCAAGCTTGTTTTCTGCTTCCCTGGAGACTAGGACGCGAACAATGGCTTCAAACTACAAGAAAGGAGATTCCATCTGAACATGAGGAAGAACTTTCAGACTGTGAGAGCCGTTCAGCAGTGGAACTCTCTGCCCCGGAGTGTGGTGGAGGCTCCTTCTTTGGAAGCTTTTAAACAGAGGCTGGATGGCCATCTGTCAGGGGTGATTTGAATGCAATATTTCTTGGCAGGGTGTTGGACTGGATGGCCCATGAGGTCTCTTCCAACTCTTTGATTCTATGATTCTATGATTCTATGTAGCCCAAAATACCTATTCAGCAAACCAGGTTACCAAACAGAGCAACATGCAGCTGTTAAACCAGATAAGTACACGGTCCAGAACCTTATTGAAAGAATTCCGGGGCTATTACCTATGGGGTCCAAAGCACACACCCTCCAATATTTCAGTTTAGAACTAGAAAATATTGGCCAAGCGATATCGAGGTGTGATCCAAATGAAAAAAGTTATCAGTGAGGAAGAACACACAAACAAGGGACCTCATTATACTGATGAATCTTTCCCCTCTCTATTGTCCTGTTTCAATGGCAATCATTGGTGAAATAGAAGGCATGTGTGGTGCTTCGCAGCAAAGCTGCGCATCTTTCCGCCTTCACCTATCACATGAAAGCAGGGAAAGAATTTCCTAAATCCCTATACGGTTCTGGCCCAGCTTACCTGTCTGAACATATTCTCCCCTATTCTCCCCTTACAGCAAAGATTCAATGCTATTAGTAAAAACTAAAACATCAAACAACAATACAAGATTAAAATACATATAGAAAACATGCAGAATAATCACAGGATGTCTTAAACCTACACCTGTTGATAAACTCTTCAAACTAGCTGACATTGTCCCTCCTGATGTATGACGGGAAGTTGCTGCTAAATGTGAGAGAAATAAGGTTGAACACTGTGAAAGCCATCCACTACATGGCTACCAGCCTCCTCCCAGAAGACTTAAATCAAGGAAAAGCATTATGAGAACTACCACTCCTCTTGGCGTCCCCCCAGCAACAGCAAGGGTATCCCTCTGGGCAGCTAAACCAGGAAATCCCAACTGGATGGCCCCCGATGAGGGTCTTCCTTCCAGGGGCAAACCAAGAATGGGCAACTTGGAGGTCCCTGAACAGACTCAGAAGTGGCGTGGGCAGATCGAAAGACAACCTGGCAAAATGGCACTACCTAAAAGAATCCCACACCTTGTGTGACTGTGGAGCAAAACAGACAACTCTGCATCTGTATGCTTGTCCGCTATGCCCTGCCTCATGTACAGAGGAAGAATTGTTGGAGGCTACAGACAATGCCATTGCTGTTGCCCATTTTGGTCAAAAGATATTTAGCCGCCTGCACTCCTTCTATTTTTAACAGTTTTAAATAAATATTTCCACTGCGGCATTTTCTTACATGGTGACATTACATTTACCTCATCTAGTTTTCTACTGGATTAAACTAGTCCAAATAGATTTGAATTGCATAGAAGCTCTGCAGCCCAATTTGTATCCAAAACAGACTGAACTGACCTGCTTTGGACATGATTCAAACTGGTCTGTACCAGTCCAGTTTCCCTTAGAAATTCATGATCTCCCAGATATGGCCAATGAAGCTACAGATGCTGATGGCAAAATATAATTTGGGGAACAGAAACAGTTTAAGTTTGGACATTGTAATCAATCCCTCTCATTTAAATTTCAGGTTTACATTTTATCTCCAATTCATCTCTGTGCTTCTTGCTGCACAAGTAACAGCAGAACACAGCTGTATTTTATTTGTCTGGCTTTGCTGTTCGGTGTGATTATTTGCTGCCTGGGCTATTCAGCTGCTGCACTGAATTTACTGCCTTGAATGGCATTAAAAGTATTATATTATGGGTACAATTTCTAATGCAGGCACATATAACTTATAGATATCAATGCTATGTTACCAAAAGGACAATTTTATAGGGGGCCCAATAGCATTTTATTAGGCTGTCATTACAACTGACTTGGAGGGAGCATTCGACTATCGATAATGGAAGCCAGATTTATGTGTCTGACCCACTGTTTTATTACTCACTGTGAAGAATACAGTTTACCAAAGCATTGTTCATCCATCCTATTAATTAGAAGGCTTTGCCTCTGAGCTGTTTTCACTAGGATTATCATGGAGTTCATTGTGCATTCAGAATGGAGCATGCAATTACCAAAGGACTGAGGGTTCAGTAAAAGTCCCAATGCAGAGGGAATGGATACTGGGGCCTTGAAGTCAGCCTTAACCATTAGCACTGGACAGCAGTATATAGTCTCTTTACTACAGTCATAACAACAATGGCAAGAAGAATGTTTCTGCTTCAATTAATACTTGTGATTCCTATTTTCTCAGTGTGTATGCACATGTTTACATTAGTACAGACCAATTTGGTGAAGAGTAGATACATTGCTCTGGAAATGAAGATCCGCATAGTTAAAGCAATGGTATTCTCTGTAGTAACCTATGAATGTGAGAGGTGGACCATAAGAAAAGCTGAGCCAAGGAAGATAGACACTTTTGAACTGTGGTGTTGGAGGAAAATTCTGAGAGTGCTTTGGACTGCAAGAAGATCCAACCAGTCGATACTTCAGGAAATAAAGATTAGTTTGGGAGAAAGCAGGAAAACGCTGCTTTGTCCCAAATTAATTAGATATCCCATTAGACTCTTCCAGAATGGCCTGGTGTTATGGGGCAAGGGCCCTGTGGGGACTGATCTCCAGGTGCTCCTGGAGGGTTAGTCCCCACACCCACTTCACACCTTGTGGGCTCCTGGAGCCAAAAGATTCAAGATAGTGCCCACCCACTTTCAAGCCTTAATTTTTTTTAAAAAAACCTTACTAGGTTGCCATGAGGCTGTTCCAGTTTCCCTCCTGCTGAGTAGAAAAGATGTGCCAGAAGACAGGGGGATTTCTTCTACCCCCCCCCCCCCCCCCCCCCCCCCCCCTTCCACCTCCTGGCATGTCATTTTTACATGCCAGTAGGCTGCTAGAGCAGCCTCATGGCAACCCGGTAAGGATTTTTAAAATTTTAAGGTTTGGGGGAATTGAGCCCCCAACCAGGAAAGCCCAAGTTTTTATTCAGATGAGAGAACTTAAACCCACAATAAAGTGATTTCTTCAACCCGCTTCATCATGGGTTTAAGAAATGACGTTAAAGCACATGCATGAAAATGACAGCTGCTAGCTCTAGACCATGGCCAGGCCTGTAGCAACATGCAGCTGTTAAACCAGATAAGTACACGGTCCAGAACCTTATTGAAAGAATTCC